TATTCCATGACAATGTGAGTCCTCTGAAATGATGGGATATTGTATTAGTCCTTTCCATAAATTTCCCATTCTTGTTTATTCCTGATAGATATCTGTTTGTGATGATAATCTATTTTCTTAGGCAAGAGAGGGAGTGAAAATCGAGCACGATAAAAAACTGTCCTCTCTCCAAAGCCAGGAATATAAGGGTGAAGATGAGGCCAAGCTGGACAAGACAAAGGCAGCAATAAAGAGGCTTCAATCTCTAATTATGGTGACATCTCAAGCTGTTTCGACTACTTCCTCTGCTATTATCGGCCTCAGAGACTCTGACTTGGTCCCACAACTTGTCGAGCTTTGTCATGGGTAATGCACAATCACACGAGTAATTCTTTTATGAGTATCTTTTATGATATCATCAAATTCAACCAAAAAAAATAAAAAAAAATGGAAAGTAATTCTTCGATGAGTATCTTTGCATGATGTCATCACATTTTCGTGATTATAAAAAACGAGAATCTCTATGAACCTTGAACTGTGTTTGAATCTTTGTATGATATCATTATTATCATCACATCCAACAAAAAAAATAAAAATTCACAGGTTCATGTACATGTGGCGATCGATGAACCAATTCCACCAAGTCCAGAACGACGTGGTCCAGCAGGTTCGTGGGCTGGTCCAACAGGCCAACAAGGCCCAGTCCACTTCCGACCTTCATCGGCAGGCCACACGCGACCTCGAATCCGCCGTCGCCACCTGGCACTCCTCATTCTGCCGCCTCGTCAAATTCCAGCGCGATTTCATCCAATCCCTCCACGCCTGGTTCAAACTCACTCTCATCCCCATCAATAACGAACACCAAAACAACAACAACAATAAAGACCCGATTTCAAACTCATTCGCCTTTTGTGACGAATGGAAACTTGCCCTCGACCGAGTCCCCGACACTGTGGCCTCCGGGGCCATCAAGAGCTTCATCAACGTTATCCACTCGATCTCGTTAAAGCAGACAGAGGAGATTAAAATCAAGAAAAGGACCGAAAGTTCGTCCAAGGAGCTCGAGAAAAAGGCATCGTCTTTGAGGAGTATCGAGAAGAAGTATTATCATTCGTATTCTATGGTGGGGATTGGGCTTCCGGATAATGGGCCTGATGGTGGGGCAGGCCTGGATGCTCGCGACCCGCTTGTGGATAAGAAGGCTGAGCTGGCGGCGTGCCAGAGGCGGGTGGAGGACGAGATGCAGAGGCACTCAAAGGCGGTGGAAGTGACTCGGGCCATGACGCTCAATAATATTCAGACGGGCCTGCCGGGGGTTTTCCAGGCCATGACGAGCTTCTCGGGCCTCATGAACGAGGGGCTTGAGACGGTGTGTAATCGTGCATATGATATTTAATATGAAATGCTATTATTATTATTATAATTTTTTTTTTGTATGTGTGTGTGTGTGTGTGTGGAGTTTGAAGCAAGTATATGATAGAAAAAAAGGGAAGGAATTTTGTTTTAATTTTTTAAAATTCTGGAACTAATTTTGGCAATTGTACTTCAGACACTTTTTCCCTTTCCTTTTATTTTTCTGAAATTTGTGAATATTTGGAATTTTTGGTAGCCTCATCACCCTTTATGTGTAAGTGGGATGGGAGTATCTCTGTGCTGTACATAATGAAAAATGGGCTGTGTTGTTATTGTATCAGAGTTTAATTTTGTCATGCAGCTGAATAAATTATCTGTTGTTGTACATGTTGCTCTCTTTTTTGGTGAAATTTGTGACATTTTTCTAATTATTTTTCCTGTGGATCAAATCATTAAATTGGTAAATAGTCTCCAGGTGGAAATTCCATGAAGAAACACTGATTTGCTGCACATGAATGCTTGATTCAAGTAAATCTGTACAGATTCACATTTCAAACTTCCAAATTCATTGATTAAGTAACAAAAATGGCCACTTGATTTTATTTTATACCCACTTGTAAGTTAACAGAGTAATTGGCCCTACCTGCATTTTTCACTAACGAATTGAGAGAAAAAAAGACAACAAAAGAGAACATAAGATAAAGAAGCGAGAGGTGTGCCTTAAAATATGGATTTTGTCTGGGTGCATGTTGGTTTTGTTTGCCTCCCAGATTGTGCGCCTAAACTGTAGGTTAGCTAGTTTTTTTCCCCATTTTTTTATTTGCAAGCAATAGTGTGACTAAGATGTAAATTATGTGAGTAACAGTTACAGAGATAATTAATCAATCAGTCTTGGATCTCGAGAGTCGAGACTAATTGTCATGTTCTAATTTGATTTGACTATGTCTTATTATGCAGGAGCAGAAGAAGCCAACGTTTGTTTTTTGTTTCTTTTTAAGTTCGTCCAACTTCAAGTTTGGGACACTAAACTAATTACTAATTACAAATTGAATTAGTTGAAAATACTACTAGAATGCAATATATTTATTCAATATTTTATTACTTGAGCAAAGTAGGTTCATCAAGTCTGTCAAGAATCAAATTTTAGAATCAAGATTCCTTATGTTTGGTCTTAATCAAGATTCCCTATGTTTAAGCACTTTTTGGTCATTGAATCTATAAAGATTACAACAATAATAATATATTGTAAATTCATCCCTTGGGATCTTACTTCAAATCTTGGACAAAAAGGCCATGGTGCTTTGATCTGATCTTTTTTTAAGGACCGTGTAGCCCATTTAGTCTTTGGGCTTGGTAATTGCAACATGAAATGACAGTAATAAAGTTGGGCTTTTTACATTACATCCTGTGAACCCAACTAAAGGCCCATCATCATCCTGAAGGCCCGCTAAATACTGTGATATACCTCCTTATCTTATGGGTTTCACCCTGCTTTGAGTTTTCCATTTTACCCGCCAAACTCTTTGGCCTCTTTTACTTTGGTGGATAGGAAAGTAAATGAGGGCTTTGAATTTGATCACCCATCAACCTAAAACTAGAAGAGGTCAAAATCCAGATGTGAAATCCATCCCCATCATCATTTTACCCTCACCTCCCAACCCGTTTCCAACCCGGCCCGACAATTCTGGTGGCAGCTGCACAGTATCAAAGCCCAATCCACGCCCTCACTGCTTTATCTCACTTGAATCGGCCTTGCGGTTCCTTGACAAGCAGCCTACGGATAAACTGAGCTGCAGTTTTCCGGGCCCTTGAAAGGTGTCTTCCCGTACAGCAGCTCGTGAAGGAAAATACCAAACATCCACCACTCAACCGGGCTCTTCGCCCTTCAACTTGATCATCTCTGGATATGCTCCCATAAAGCTGTAGAAAGTGTTCCAAGTGATTTAAGTGAATTGGTTATATTTACAGATGGGGTCAGGAAATAAATTTATTTATTTTTTGTGCATTAAAGAATATTTATCACCCTTTACCTCTTCTCTATAAAATTTTTTTGATATTGCTCAAGCAGTACAACTGTTTGTGAATTTTAAGCCTTAAATGAATACAAATTCAAGCCTTAACCAGTCGAATTAATCTATTACTTCCGAAATTTACGTGAAACGAATTAATCTATTATTTCAGGAATTTACATGAAAACATTAGGATGTAAAAGTTAATAATAATAATAATAAAAAAAAAAAAAATGAGGAGAAGAGAAAAAGATTGTAATGAGCACATCTACATCTAATTTACTATTCACAATTTATAAATTTCATCAAGATTGCCGGTACGACTCGTGTTTTGTTTGTGATCACACATATTCATTTCATTGCAGGGATGGTGATTTCCCTATATGTCCTTCCATAAAAAATCACGTACAGTAAATTAATCCAGAGCTGATAGGCCGTTCTTCTTCGTGTCTTAGTGAAGAATGAAAATTAATGAATTAGTAAAATTAGGAATACTTGATCAGGGTCAAGTCAATAGTCGGGCTAGCCAGAGGCAGTACTCCTATATATAATAGATTATTAATAATTAGTTGAAGGTTATCAACTAATATCACTTGGTTAATTATTTTCAATTGTACTAATAGCTGATGATATGTAGAAAATCTACATCTCTATATCACGTAGCATGACATTGATCACTATTTTGTGGTTATTGTTTTGTTTCGTAATATCTGAATCTTTTTCTTCATTTAATTTGATATTTTTTAACCATATGACTCTACAATAGGTAGGCCTTATAGCACAAGCTCAGTTTCTTCTTCTATTAGGCTCTGATCCTGGCCGGTTTTAGCTGATGATGGGATTGAGTATAATAATGTTATTAATATAAATATTGTTATTTGGTTGTCTAACTTTTATTCAATCGTAATTTAGCCACATAGTTATAAACTTGTGGGTGTGTACAAAGAACTAAGTGACTAGATCAACCAAAGAATCTTAATACTGAAAAGAATCCCTTACTGCAAAGTGCAAATTGAATTTTGAAAAAGAGTAAAGGTGGATTACTTTTTAAGCACATAGATATATGCTTTTGAAAATTATGGAAAGTTAACTCACAATGGCGAGCGTCCCTTGCCTTGGTAGATTGATCAAAGAATGCGTGCATGTAGTCATATAACTTAAAGAAATTGTTGAATTTAAAATTAACGTGCTTTCACATTTCTTGCTGAATTTGAAAGTCAAATGTGAAGTAATCAAGTTGGAGAGTAGGTAGAATTAATTGCTTTTTCACATTTTTCCCTTTTTCCGGCCCCTTTTCTTCTGGTCAATTTTATTCTCATCAGTTATTATCAAATCATCAACCAATTATTCAGCCAAACTGTAGTGTAAACGCATATATGACATATTTACTTATCAGAGAGATAAAATGGCCGTATATCGTCCCATTGCGTTTACATGCCTATTAATTGGATTGGAGGTAATTCTTCTTTTTTTGGTTTACATTTGCCGGTTGGAGACGCTCTAAATACAGCCAAATTAAAACCTTCTCGTGTACTTATCACGTACATTCCCCGAATTATGTACCATGCAAATTAAGTTAAGTTGCTAAAAAAAGGAAAGAAGACAATGCTTCAATCACCTAGCCAGCTCGTCTTTCAATTACCATGGCAGATTTGGGTAGAGACCAAAGCCAATGCTAATTTATTGGCTGATGACAGCTCTCTCTTACGTACAGATTATTAATTTACATATATAAATTAAAGGTGACCAAAAGAAAAAAGAAAAACGTCAGCACACAAGCTCCTGGTGAGTGGGACTCAAAACCCTCCTTCTCAAGGGACAGTTGTGGAGCAAGTTGAGATAGGTCTTGAGATCGTGACAGGTGGCGACTCCCCCTGATCTGCTGCTGAGCCTGAGCTCCTTCCCTATCTCCGCGTAAACCCACTCTGTCCCCTCCATCCACCTCATGCTGTCATTCAGCACGAAACCCGGCACCTTGGTAACCGGGTCGCCCGCATTCACTATCCTCAGCACCCTCGTCCCGTTTTTCTCCAATTCCTTCCTGAAGGCCTTGTTCCCTATCCTCGGCCCCGCGAACGACACCACCGTCACCATCCCCCCAAACTCCTTCCTTATGTCATGCCCCGTCAGCGTCGCCAGCGCAGCACCCAAGCTGTGCCCCGTCACCGTCACGCTTACGTCACCGCCGTACCTCGCCACCACCCTTGCCACCTCATCCCTCACCTCGTCCCTTAGGCTCGGCTGCCCGTCCTCCCCTTCCCCTTGCGTCGTGTACATGCTCAGAAACCCCCTCTGCACCTTCGCCATTTCTCCAACCCCCGCGAGGCCCATGCGTAGATTCTCGGCCCACTCCATGCACGTTCCGGTCCCTCGATACGCCACCACCACGTCCCGCCGGCCGAGCCGGGCGATCTCGTCCGGGTCCGTGCACACCGCCACGTACCCAATCAAAGCCGAACGGGCCGAGGCCCAGCTCGGGAGGTGGGCTGCGGCCCAGCCAGGGAGGTGGGCCCCGCACGTGGCGTGCAGGGACCGCGTGACAGTGTAGCCGCGGGGGACACGCAGAGTTTCGTTGGAGTTGAAGAAGGCGCGGTAGGCGGCCTCCACGAAGTCGCCGTACCGGAGGATCTCGTCCCGGAGGGTGTTGTCGAGAGGGTCGAGGAGGCCTTCCCAGTTGCGGATGCCCTGGACCTCCATCCACTTGTCGCTTAGGGATTGGCTGGCGAGGGAGTGGTGGTTGGACTTGGACGCTCTGGATTTGCCGCACTCTGGCTTCCAGGACCTTCTTATACGCGAGTTTAGACTGGAAGGGTAGGTTGGGCCTTTTAAAGCGGGTGGGCTTACCACCCGAGTAGCAGCTTTCATGGTTAGTTTTTTCTTTTTCTTGTTGTTTTGGAGTATGTTATTGAGGAAGTTTAAGGTTGACTTGTGTGTTTGGATTTGTGAGGAGTGTTTGGATGGGTAGGGAAAATTGGAGGTGGCATGGATTTATATATACTTGTATGGATGGGTGGGATTTGGGAATAAACAAACGTTTTTAGTTTTGGGTAAATTGGGGCTAACCAAACGCGTCTCTCCTTACAACCTTTTCTGTTGCCTCTTTTAAATCGAGTCAACAGTTTAGTTCATATGATCATATCCATATATCATACACCATAAAATTAGTCACACCAAGTGTAATTTTATTGGGAAAAAAATCTGTATATATATATATATATTGAATTTATGTATTATATTGTAGACTATTTGGTTCTTAATTAATTATTAAGTCACTAACTATTTAATTGACAACTGTGAAAGATAATTGTAGAATAATTTAATATTAGAAGAAAATGTGAGTGGCCTATTAATGTAATGCGAAGTCGTAATTAAGCAAGATCAGTAACGTAATAGAAACTGGTGACGTAGTATAGTAGAATAAAGTCAACATCAACAAAATAGTGTGTGTGTGGTAGATAGTCAGATAGTCGTACTCTGTTGAGCATGCGAGCGAGTGAGTCATGAGTGTCAACATTTTGACCTGTGTATTTAATTCCCCT